ACAAATGTTAATTTCCTGATACTTGTCTCTCTGAGAACCTTTGTCTTTTTGCCATCAGCTTTTAACTAGAAAACACTTAAGTTTAATTCATCGTGGACTTTCTCTGGTGGGTGTTAGATTAGCAACAGACGAGCTTAATGCAGTTTGCGGTTGCTGTGCGTTTTCATTGCACTTGGATACAAAAAAATGACGGACGACGATTTTTATAGCAATGGATGTTTTTAACAAACAGTGACAATGCAATTGCACCTGCAATTTTTCTGATCATCACGTGCTTTAACTGTGAAGAAATCTTCAAGTCGGAAAAGGTTCACAAAAGTCTTCGAAGACGTCTGGAAGTCGCAACCCGCATTAGTGTAGTGGTGTTGAGCAATGCCATTTACTTCAATGAGACCCGTGCCAAACGTCAGGACGTATGTGGAGTGATGGCAAATGTCAACGACTTTGTCTAATGAAATGTTTTCATGAATTATATCGTGTAAACTAGAAGCAGTTAGAACAAGATTTTGTAAAATTTTCAGGCTCTTTCTTGAGACTTGACTACGGCTACTTAGACGACGTCGGTGACCTACTGGTTTGCACCGTAGAGGCTGGAAAAGAGGTTCCGAGTTTATTTCTGGTAGTATAAATATGGAAAACGAGCTTGTCTAAATTGGTTCTGGTCTGCGTGTTTTGGGTAGTGTCCCGGAGTGAATTCTGTTATTGTGGTACTCATTGTGATTGTTTGGTACATTATAATTATTACTAACCAAACTAATTTTAACTTTAATACTTCGTCTCTTTCGTCATTAAAAAAAAGGACGTCGAAAGCTTTCTTTGTGATATCAAGTGAGGGAACCAACAAGTCTTGCGCCTGGTGGTAGCCGACACGCCTACCCTTAACACTTGCAGGTCACGCAGTGTTTTAAATAGCAAAGATTTTAAACCCTGATACATAAAGTTGACAACTCCCATGCGCCTGTAATTTGACTAGCACCCTGAACCTTCAAAATCGAATCGCAGTAATTCTCGCATTACTGCTTGGTGCCAGAAATAGGTAACAGTACTTCTATACTGCGACAAAGTGGTCAAAAATTATAAAGTACTCTATAATTTTAAACTGTTTGCCTTGGCATTACGAGTTAATTTAGAAAATGTCAAAAGTACATTGCTCTAAACACAAATTTCATCTCCTGTCCTTTTCTTACTGCTAACGTAAGAAACAGATAGCTTCAATTAAGATTATGTTGTGTTCGCCCGTATCGACGCCATTAACGTAGCATAAAGTGGTTTGGATTAAAAATTTGTTATTTTCCTTACTATAGATTTGTAACATATGTTAGGAGGAAGCTACTTAGCAACTATTTACAAAAACCACAAATAAAATTATGTATTATTCGCTTGTTTACTAATGATGCACACATACGTTTTCCTTCCTACATTTTTTGCATCAAGCTAATTTTATGTCCAATTTTGCATCGCTTAAGCTTCTAGAATGGTTGCCTTTTTTGGGTCTTTTGGTTTCTTTTTGATTTTCGCCTTAATCAGTCCCTAACAACTTACCCACTTAGTTCCGCCTTAAAATCTATTTCATCATTCTTCTTACGTTCATCCTCTCTACATATCCGAACTACCTAAGCATCCCTTTTTCTGTCACTACCAAATTTTCCACGTCGCAACATCTCTCTTATCACACTGTTTCGCAATTTGTCAGTCACTTCAGCAAAACCCAAATTAGAGCAATATTTTTCTTAAGACGTATTTGGTCCAGTATTGTTTCAATAGTTACGTGTGGTGGGTAGAACCAAACCAAGGTGCGGTTTGGTGGAGGATATAATTTATTCATTTAGCATTCTGTTACAGTCTTCGAGAATAGTGTTATTTTCGTGTAGTCTATTCATAGATTGTGTTCAATTTGTTTAAAATAATCAATTATCAGGTATTGCCACCGCTATATCTATCCAAAGCCCTTATTTTCACTGAATTAATTCTAATTTTGTGCTTCGTCTGCCATTCCCTAAATTTACTACCATTTTGGTGTAATTGTGAATTACGTCATTACGAAGATTTACTATATCGATATTGCACCAGCTTATATGATATATCATCATCATCTGATCTTGAATCAGCGTCATGTCATGACGCATATACTCGTGATATTATTGCGCTGATTTCGATAATATAATGGGTGTGGTATTAACGATGTTATATCTCGGATATTATATAACTTCTTTGAGTACCTCGCTAGCTGGTGTCAACTCTGCAAAAGAAAACTTTCTTTTGACGAAATTGTGCTTCTCTTCTCTTAGGTCTATATTTCCGACATTTTAGAAATTCCCTTTGCAATAAGCTGCTCCCTTCTAGCAAAGTGAGTCTTCCATGTTTTACAATATCGTCGCCTTACTGTCTCAAACTCTCAAGTCTTAAACCACAAAGTTACTGAAATGCAAAAAATGTATTGTATAAACAAATTTTGCAGGCTGATTCCACATCACATTTCCTTCATATTTCATTATCATATTTTATTTCATTCACACACTGGCTTTTACCTATTCCTAAAGTAACGCATCCAAATTGATAAGAAGATCTCCTGAATAATCACTCTTTGTAAGATACGAGTTTGACAAAGTAAGGCATCGATATGGAACTCATTGAAATGTTAAGCGCATTATTTAATACTTAACCTAATAATAGAAATAAAGTTTATTTTGCTCCATAAGAAACATATTACAGCTAGGACCAGTTGACACGCTGAATTTCAATAAGCACAATTTTGTAGGATACGGAAGTCTAAACTAAGCTTAATATGCCTTTGCGTCAGTGCCTCCAAGTTCCGACTTCTCAGACATACAAGTATAATAAATTATTACACAAGATATTAGCAATATTATTATGATCCACGAACATTGAGTGTTCGTCTAATTGAAAGTTGTAATGTCACTTAATAATTATGTAGACATATAGACATAAGAATTACTTTTTTGATTCCCTGATTTATTAGTTCCGGCAACGGGCACGTACCTTCAATGCGCGGGCGCAGCATGCACCGGGGTCGACGGCCGCGTGACTCACGCGCCGGCCCATTCCATGCCTATTACGGAGACACTAATTCCGACTACGCCGACACTTAGGGAAGGAAATAGCTTCAACCATTGGCTGATTACTTATTAGTAGTCAATTTTCCATGCTAAAAAAAATCGCTTTTAATTATCACAAGTTTAACAAACGGCTTTTGCATGTCTCGGTAACAGGCGTTATTACACGGGGAGGAAGTAACAAATAATTGTATGATCCTGAAGATGGAGGATCCATTCTATCGCTTCGTTGTTTATATAATTACAAACTCGACAAATTCTCAATTCTGCTGTAGTAACTTTTATCTATTATCCCAGATATGTTTAAAGACCGGTGTTGCCAGAGCCCTTGAACAAACATTTTCTTTACCTGAAAAGTGACATTTTCGTTTTTTAATCAAAAAGTCTTATCGCATTGACGATATCAAGTCCTCAAAAAACCTAAACTGTACTAATTCGTAGATTTAATTTTGTTTGTGTCGTAGTTGCTTTATTTTCTAATTTGGGTGCGTTCGTAAAATTATTTACAATTTACAATAAGAAATATTGTTGAATTTAAAAATACACAACATTCTCAAGATTTACGAAACTTTAGAAACAAAAATTACTAACTTATTATGCAAACACAGTTTGAAAGTTACGAAGAATGTAAGAAATGTAACCATCTGGCAACACTGTTAAAGACACGGTACTAAATTCACATTCTATTAGATTACCTATTTTTATAATATTATTATTTATTTATTCAATATGCTACAATTACAAAGACACAAGTCACATTTACTTAAAATAACATTATCAGTACATATAAAGATATCGCGACTGCTATCCAATTACCATTGTACGCAGCTTTTGCAAAGAAAAAAACATATAATTACACACAGCTGATTAAAATAATATGAAATAAGGGAATTAATGGATGAATTATGTATTAATAATATTGTCAAATAATCAAAATAACATGAAAAAATACGAAAATGTTAAAAATTAAGTAAATGTAAAACCATTTATTAAAAAAAGAACGAAAAGAAATTACAAAAGTTGAAGATATCTCTTAAAATAGTTTAAACTTTGTAAAAATATGTCAAAATCTATACCAGTTCACAGATATCATTATAGAAGCGGCACATCCTGTACAGTGGATTATTTTGTGATACATTGTTGTTTGATGGTGGTATAGTGTATACTCGAGGACGACGCATATATCGAGTAGGAACGCTAAAATGCAGCCCATCCAGCAACCCCATACCTAGAGTCCCATTAGCAACCCTATGAAGCATATATTATATTCTCACACTTAGATTCCAATTGGGGTAGGCAGAGACTATCGATGGACAATCCTCTCTTGCCTCACTTACATTCATCAATCTTTTCGTATAGGCCCTCTTATCCTTCTCACTACGCACCCCAGCCTTTTTAAGAACACTCTGAATTTGGTCTGAGAATGTTCTTCGTAGCCATCCTCTTCCTACGATGCCTTCCATCGTTTCATAATATACCTAGTGGCGGAATGTATAATGTACTATGTACGGTGTACGAATGTAGAGTAGAATGCCCTTTCATATGATACCCAAGTCAACTTAATCGCTCCAGTTTTAAATCCCGGCCTTGTTGTAAATATACATGATTTGGATCCCAAAAAGTTGTTTCATTTCTTATGTGTAACAATCGCGAAAACCTAAAGAACTGAATATTAATAATTGTTGAACATTCTCAATTCTGCTGTTTAAGTTTTATGTATTGTTCAATATATATATATTTAAAGACACGATACTAAATATTCTATTAGGTTATCTAATTTTATGCCTGGGTTCGATAATAGAGGCTGGCTACTGCTCTCATTCCGCTGTTGAGCCAATAAATATATATTCGGGGAAATCATGTATTACAAGGACAATAAGTTTAACAAAAAGAAAAATAATATTAACAACATTCATTTGTTTCCAGGAACTCTTGAACACGAGTGACTTTGGAAAGCCGCTTGAAGAAACGCGATTGTTCTGTATCGCCACCACGTTGCAGATTGAGATCAAAACGTCTCTACGATTACAAGTACACATGTGCGAATGCACGATTTTTTACTCTGCAGTGTGTTACTGTAATACATAACGGAGTAGTCTGCTTTATAGTAAAAATTAATAAGTAATAAATATCTTTATAAACGTGTCGCTAAACAAGAAGTTACCACAATTATTATCGAATTGGACAGAAAAAGTTTTAAGTAATACCATGATAGCGAAAAACACGTTGAGCGTTTCTTTTACGCAAAACCCGCCAGCGCGAAACGCACACCGGCTTAATACGATTCCGTATCGATAAGTATGGTGTGTCCCTGTGTGGTGTATCCCTTAGATAAAATACACACAAGCTACCCTACTCAGCAATATCAAGAAGAACTTGACAAAATGTTCATATTTGACTAGGTTACTTTTGGGTCATTTTCAAATTAGTGTCATCTACCTAATTTCGGTGGCAATTTTTATTATTTAACCCCCTAAGATCCCGCGTACATCAAAACCCATAATATGTGAACTGATTCTGACCCAGACTATATTATTCCTATGATCACGTAAACGCCCAGTATATCTTAGCTATAATGGAAAATATGGCATTCGGGTTTAGTGCTATATATTCTGTATTTAGAAAAAAAAATCGGAATGTGTTTTTCATACAATTCGTACATAATTAGTACATTTGGCGTTTAACGCTTTGCCCATTGTAGTTTTGTGTGTTAGGAGGTTGGTATTCCAGAATATTATCATGAAGTATTATTTAATATTCGAGTATAGTATCTTGAAATATTATTTAATACTTTACGATATTATACTCGAATACTTAAATAATAAAAATTTCCACCGAAAGTAGTCTGCCTATTTTTAGATTTTTTATAAATTAGCACTAACTTGAAAACGACTTTTTTATATCTTAAAGTGGTATTGTATAATTGTAGTATAATTTTACTTTGCAGGCGACGAATAATAAACCTATAAACACCATGTCAACAACATTTATAAGTATAAAAACCTCAAACTTCATAAAATCAGGATTATTTCTTCCGGAACCACTTTATAGTGATCCTGGAGGAAATATCTGTCAGAACTACTCATCTGCAAAAATGGGCTATTAAAAAAACAGTAAACTAAAATTCATTCAAAACAAAGTGTGCTTGTTTTACTCATAGACGACACTACTAAGAAGTTTTCGACAACAATTGAGATAATATATGGGCAATTTTCGTGTTTGTTTTCTCAATCCAATTTCGATGGCAATTTTAAATAATAATTTTATATTATTTTTAATAATTTTATATATTTATATTATTATTATATTATGATTTAAACAATCCAGAATATTATCATGGAGTATTATTTAATATTCGAGTGTGGTATTCTGAAACATTATTTAATATTTTACGATAATATACTCGAAATTAAAAAACTGCCACCAAAATTATGTAGAGAATCACTTATAGGGAGATGCTCAGTTACTTTTTAGCAAAATGGTTCTTAATGTATACGGACTTAAATTTGACGTCCCATATAAATATTCCCTTTTCTAACTCTTGATTTTTAACTATTTTATTTTACAACATTGTTTTGTATGACTATGTACGTGGGATCATACACCATATACATGTGTGTCGTTTATATGACAACGTACATAAGTCCACAGCGTGCATACATTGGCTTACGCCTCGCATGTTACACATAATGTATAATTAAACAATGCACACATATTGTGGCTTTCGAAAAATGTAAACGTCGGCTCCTTGTACACAACGGCACTATATTTAAAAAAATAAATTTTGCAAAATATGAAATGCTTAAAAATTATTTATTAATATGTCCTACAAATTTTCCAGAACTTGATAAGTAACCAAACTAAAATTAGTTTATTATATTATGCAACATTTTAATTAGCTTAGGAAGACAAAAGGTTAATTTTCATGTTGGTTACCTCTACCTGCCTTCGGTGGCAATTTCTACTGTTTAAATATTTTAGAATATTATCTTAAAGTATTATTAAATATTCGAGTGCAGAGATCTGAATTATTATTCGTATTTCACGGTAATTTACTCGAATACTTAAATAATGAAAATTGTCACTGAAATTAGGTAGAGATTGACCTGAAAATTATTCAACAACAAAAAGTTAATTTAGATTTATGATAATAAATCTGTCTAATTCTAAGTAGTTATACAATGGAGGCAAGTCTACCTGAGCCCTGAACATAGTCGCGCAGAGCGCGGGAGCGGCCGGAAATTGCTCGTATCGCAAATTGCTTCCTCTCCTGCGCTGCGTGGACCGCAGACTCTTACTGAACAAGCATCATATTTTTTCTAGTTACATAATCTCTATATATGAGATTTATATAGAAAAATAATACAGAATATCGTAGATGTCATCGAGGAAAACAAAGACTGAAAACAGGAAAATACTTGTTCATATAGGTATGTATGGAAGCAATTGGTATTCAATGCACAGTCAACTCTACATTTTTTTTTATGTCGCTATATAAACGAAAAACCATTGCCATGCGATTCATATATCGTCGGTGGTTTATAGAAAGGGCGAAAGCACCATTTCGAAATCTTTTTTAAGGGAATGCTCCGTAAATATTTTAAAACAGTCGTTAAAACCTAAAACTTGCTCCCCTGAAATATTTTTCGAAATGGCGCCTTTCACACTTTCAACAAAACACTGACGATATTTGTTGGACTCTACCTGTCAACATGCGCGTGCATGGCAATTGATTTTGCAATCTGTTGACAATTACTTGATATAATAAAGCCACACGTGTTTTTATCACACCAAAATCATAAAAATAGTACAAACTACATGAAACAAATTGTGTGTATGTGAAAATTTATGACTCTTCTTTTAAAGCAAAAAAGATAATCGACTAATTTCGTTCGTAGAATATTTAAATTTGCAGATGTGGTCTTATTTCACCAAGAATGCGGCATTTTAAGGTCACCTACATATTGGCCAAGTAACCGCAAAAGTATTGAGATGAATCTAGAGTACAACTATTGTAGGAAGTATTATGCTGCGCAACAAAAACGATTCCCTTGCATTCACACATAATGGTAATAAAACTTACTATTGGTTGCTAACCCATTAAAATATAACGATAGTAGGTTAAGTACGTTTACTAGCGACGTAAGTAACTTGGAAAATTACTCTATGTGATGCGGTTAGATACTAGAATGTCGATAGCATGATATCCTTATCAATTTTTGATATTAACCGGTCGTTATCACATGGTCTCTTTCCTTTCGCGAATTTTCCACAATGTTATCGTTCTTTAGAGTCATATCAAGAAAATGGACACGTACCTATGGGATATTTTGCCTGCTCTTCTTAGTGATATTGCTCGAGCGACAAAGTGACAGGTAAGTCGGACATTTTTTTTGGTTAGCACTGGTTTATCTAAGTTTTATCACGTTTTGTGCTAATCACATTGCGTTATCGTGTTGTAGCTCATACATACTGTGATGTAAGATTTGGACACGTTGAAATATTTTCTAAATAATAAGTGGTATTAACACAAGACATAATTTCATTGTGTATAATTAGTTACGTTTCAATATAATTAACATGGATATAATTATTAACTAACTTAATTAATATAATGCAAGAATAATATCAAATGTCTTTATATCATAAATTAATTACATGTATTGAGCGTTGTTTCGACCAAAAATATTTGTTATATCAAATTAACTAGACTCTTGTGCAGACGTATGCCTGTTCCCAGTATATAGGTACACAGAACTATTTTAACGCTGACCAGTAACAGTTTTCATATTAACTTAATCTGAGACCACATTTTCAAACATTTAGTGTGTTTTATTCCAAATTTACTTTAGTAGAAATGCACACACCATTCGCGTGTCACTACACGCACGAACCCTTAGATAATCAGCCGAAATAACGCGGAAAAATGCGCCAAAATGCGAGCTCACAAATAAAAAGCCCAAGGTCTTGCGTCCATTATGATGATGACACTGACATTGGCCGGACGACAGACACGAAAATAAGTGCTGACCATGGAACGGGACAAGGCCTCCAGATTATAAATATTTCGTTAGTTGGTAGATGAAAACACCTTAAAATATGTAGTTTGGTAAGTTAGGAATTACTATGCCGTGAAAAGTTTATGAAAAACGACTAATAGAGCGCACGCTGATACAGGTTGTTCGATATACTTGCTAAGAGTCTTGGGTCCATAATGCCGCTACTACGTCTTTCTGAATACTTCTCGTTTATGGTCAAACTTTGACCAGGTAATCAGCGCAAATAGTGGTTTAAATGACAATACTGTCTAAAATCTGACAGATAATTCGTCGAAACAGTTGTTTAAACGCCAAAACGGTCAAACAGTCTCACAAATAATTTGTTGAAACAGTTGTGTAAACGGCAATACCTTCAAAAGTCACTTCAGACAGCTATTAATGACGACAACAACAACGCACACACTCATAGCCCCGCACTTGGGAAACCTTATATCGCGGGTGCCATGGACACACTATATATAGACAACCACAAATTACACCCCAACTCACGAGAGAAATAAATGTAGGCCATACAAATATTTCTCCCGGTCCGGGAAACGAACCTGGGACCTCTGCGTGGCAGTGCAGCATGGTAACCGTTCCGTCCCGGGGGTAGTTAAAGATAATTGGTTGAAATAATAGTTTTAATGCCAAAAGTGTCAAAAGTCTCACAGGTAGTCGTTGAATCAATAATGTAAACGGCAACACTGTCAAAAATCTGACAGATAACGATAGTGTTGCCGTTGTAACGGTTGTTTTAACGGCAACACTATCGGAAGTCTGACAGATAATTCGTTGAAACATGTGTTTCTTCCTTTTTTTTTTCATCCTCTAAGGTTTCAATGGCAAAATTGCTAACAGTCGGACAGATGATTGCTTGAAGCAGTCAAATGTTCGACACGTAAATGTAAGTAAATCAGGGACGTAATATTCGTACAATAGTGTATGAAATCAATGTAAGTAGTAAGTAGTTTTTCTACTTAAGCGGTCATCCTGCAGCTCGTTACAAGCGGCGCTGGGCATTTATTACTATTATCATTGTTACTTCATTTAATGCATTAATATAATTTATTTATCACGCCATGAATAAATAGTAAAGAAAAAGTTATTTCATATAAATGTGGATCCTGTTAGTATAGATTTTTCTTTTTTAACATCTGATGACCTAAAACCGTTCCAAAGTGACTGCCTGGAGATTGCTGCCGATACTGAATAGAAATTCGAGAACGAGGTCTTTTCCCTGCAACGGGGCACTATGGTTTAATAAAACAATATTATATTACTCTAATAACAACTAAAATGCATTATCTCTTCCTACAAAATTTTAAAGTATGTTACAAGTATATGACCGAAGTATATAATAAGCACACACCCGCTTTATTCACGTTCGGTCGGTTTCCATATCGATCCTGACTACAAGATATTATTAGCGTTGAGACCTTGTTGGTCCTTATTACTATATCAGTTTAGGTAAATAGACATCAAAGGAAATTGCTCGTCGTCGGTAGCCAAATTAATTAAGAGCGGTAAACTTCATGATGGTAAACTACACGCCTGTTCATAACAGTTGCAGTGACAGTCGGAGCTTTAAATCGCAAAGATCTGAGGGGTACTGCCTCTGCGCCCGCCATCCTGAGACATAAGTTGACAAGTCCCATGTGCCTGTAATTTCACCAGCACCCTTCAAAACCGGAACACAGTAATGCTGACATTACTGCTTATCGGCACAAAGAGGTAAGGTGGCAGTACTACCCTGGACGAACTCTTTTACAAGGAGCTCTACTGCTACTAAAGTAAGTATATTAAAAGTGTACAGAAAAAATTTTAACCATTTTCAGTTGGTGACCACTAGCTATTATAAAAAATTTGGTTTCTAGTTTCCGTCCGATTGTTCACGCTCTATTTATATTTATGAAATCGATAGATTTTTAAATAATTTATTCAGACGTTACTTTGCGGAAGTCCATATTTCTTCGGCCTTGCACCGA